AAAAGGTAATGCTTTGATAGCTTTAACATAGGACTAATAATTGTACATTATCCTAGAGTCTCTAACTAGTTTTTGCTAGCTCTGGGCTGTGAGCCTTTGGCTGTTTGGGGGATGAATATGTGTGTTGCTTCCCTTCCTTTTTCTGGAGGTTTCAAGTTCTGGTATGTTTCTAATGGGCCCTTTTAAATGTTCCACTTCTGGGTTCATTTTTAATCATGAAATGCATCTCTGGTCTTCACTGTGAGTTGTTTGAAGCTAAGGGGAGATATGTAGTCTGAAAAACCCTGCAGTGTCTTTTGTGAAGTATTTAACATGAGATAAGGCCCTGCTGCAGCCAACATACCCATGAGACAGCTGACAGGTGTGTATTACACATCTCCTAAGTATTAGACACTGTGGGGTAAAAATAAAGCTACAAAGATGTTAAACATCTAGATTATGTCTGCATGCAACTAGTTTACAGACTTTATTATGATGTTTCTTTTACAAAATTTACTGATTTTTGTTGGTTTCTCTAATGGTGAGTACAAAGTACCTAAATTTAGACTGCAATTCTGCCTCTATACTGTCTTAACAGTGTGTCTTTGAGTAAGTCTTACCCTCTCAGTCTCAGTGAATTCAACTGTAAAATGGAGATAACACTTGATTTTCCTCACTCACGGGATTATTGTAAGTGTAGCTAATGGTCCCGGTTTGAGTCTAAGCTGGTCTTATCCTACTAATTAGACATGTCTGAGCACATCTGGAAGGCCTATGAGGCAGATTTGCCAGGAGTCAGTTGTTCTAAAGGACTACAGGCTCTCTCTGAAAAGAACTCCTAAGCAAAAAAGGATCCAGCCATATGAGCTTTCCCAGGAGGAGAGCTCGGAAGCCACGGTAAAAGAAATAGCAAAGCCTTGGTAAAGATAATCAGAGTCCAAAACAAAAAAGATAGTTGGAGAACTTTTGTCTAAGAAACACACCAGAACAGCTTCTATTGGAGTTTTAGGGAAATGTAGGAGATGAAAACCACCTTTGGGATAAGCAAAGAGCTATGGCAAGAGAAGAAATGACAGGCATTGGGAGGACCAGGTTCCAGGGTTCTTCTAACCATCAGGAGAGAGGTAGTGTCCATTACCTGTTCCTGGACTATGAGTTTACCTACTGGATGATACACTAATTTCCCATTTCTTCTTTGATGTGTAGATGGTAATTCAGAGACTTTGATATGAATAAGCTTTGATCAAAAGAAATTGATAGATGTGTACAAGTTCCTAAGGTAAATGGTCCTCTGTTAGTCCACTCCTTTCCCAGAGGTTGTATTCTGGGTATAGGGACGGAATGGTGACTGGCCAATCAGGGCTCAGCTAAACTCTGGTTATGAAGCAGAGAGAAGTGGAGCCAAAGCCAACAGAGATTCCACCTATACTTAGCTCTCCTCTGTTCTGTGTTCTTTCCAGAAGCATGCAGGTGATCAAGGAGCTAATTGTCTTAAGCCACAGGCTGAGACCTCAGGGTCCTGAGTAAGATAGCCTCATCTTTTGTCCTTGAATCAGAATGGCCTATGAGAAGGTGGTGGTGATTTTACTTCAGTCTTGTTAGTGTGGTGGGCCTGGAAACTTGAGCTAATCAGCTAGGGTTCCTGAGTGTGGCATATGCAACATGGGTAGGTGCTTCTCTGTGGGAAAGAAGTTAGCTCTTGCTCTTAGGATAGCTGGGGTGCCTGAGAACAGGCTTCCGCTTCACAGAATAGGATGAGTGAGAGGAGGCAGATAGGTAGGAGCCTTATAGGAGAGGACCTTACAGGAAGATTGACGAGATGTTCCAGTCTGCCAGGGATAAACCCAATATGCACCTGTAGTTCTGGCATAATTATTCAAAGAACCCTTTTTCACTCCCCAAATTCTCCTGGTATGGATGGTAAATTACATGGCAAGGAGCTTGGGTGACGTTGCATTGTCCTTTTGAATTCCTATGCTGCTCTGCTGGCTGGCACTTTAATTGGCAATTACTTCACTTTGCCTAAGGCACCCAGAGATATCCTCTACTCTCCTTCTGTTAGGTCCCTCTTCTTCCGTCTGCTCCCTTATCGTCTTCCTTCTTTCCATCCCAGGATCTTGGGAAATTGTTTATGTTTGTGGCTCGTTTTTGACCATGGGAATTGTGTAGGCTGAGTCTGGCTTTGTACCAAACTGCAATGGCCTTAATGCTTGATTACTTTTTGTCCTTTTGGCATTTTTGACTTTGACGCCCAAATACACAAACAACGAATCACTTCTCTGTTCTATTGGGGAGTCAGCCCTGTACATCAGTTACGTAATGTCTCTAGAGCCAAGGCTTTGTGAAATTCAGTACTTCCCACTTGCTACTTATGGTCCTGGTCTGAGGGATGGTTAACCTTCACTACAGCACATCCTGATAGCAATTTTTCCCAAAACAATGTGTATCACTGTGCCTGAAGGAAAAACACAAAAATAGAAAATCAAGGTTGCTTGGAGATCACCAGGAAAGCCTAATCATCCTACCTGAACTTCTGGTGATGGAGCCCAATTAGCTTATGGGCTAGCAGTCTTTGGCCCACTCACAGTCTTCCAGCATAGGACAGTGAAACCAATAGTCTTATGAAATCTATAGATTTCGTATTCATCTTCATATCATTCAGTTTTATATCTCTGGGGTGTGAAGACAGTTAAACAGAACAATTTTATAGGTTTATCAGGGCACTGACATCATCTGGGGATAGCATACTTCACTTACACATCATGTGTGAAAAACAGAATTGGACACAAATCACAGAGAAATGCAGTTAATGTTTTATGAGTTCATAAATCCAGAGCTGGGACTAACACTGGGACCTCCGAAGGAAACATCTACCATTATAATTCAACAGCTCGAAGGATTAATTTTATCACACAAAGTTTGGGCTTGGAGCTAAAATACATCCACATGCAAATCCAGACCATGGAGAATACCCGAACGTATTACTGCGTGGAGATTTGTGAATGTGCACTGGTGAAATAACCTCATAAGAGACCTTTGAATTGTCACTTACTAGTCACACACATAATGTACAGTACTGAGGACAGTAAACCTTCTGTTCAAATCAATCCTCAGGGTTTAATTATAAGAGAACTAGTCCTACAAAGTTTAATTGTGATTGACAGCCGTTATCTCATGTGATTATGTAAACTTGAGTCCCTATTTTATAGATGAGAAAATTGAGGTTAAGCCATGTTAAATAAATTGCTCAAGATCGTGATACCATGAAGTTATAAAATCGGGCTTTCTGACTCCGTGGCCAGTTCTCTTCCTACAACATCACATTTTCTATAACAAGAATCCAGTAAAACTCATCCATCTCTTTTTGCTCCTGCATATATAAGGACTTCATGGGTTGTGACATACACACCCAGCAAGATACAGGGATGAGGATGCTTGTGGGAGGAGGTCTCCGAGTAATACATGTCATGCTCTGTAGGAAAGGATTTGATCAGAGTTGGAGCTTCCTGTCAGCTGCACATTAGTCCTAGGGGCAAAAGTTAGGCCCCTGCTTTCTGTCTCATCATTTATTTTGTACAAGAATTGTGGATTTCTGTCTGCCAAGGCTGACCTTACATGGAAGCAGTGTTGATGATCACCCTCCTGGTGTGATTTAAAGGGACTGGGGAGCCTGGCTTCCCATCGACACTAGTATAAGTTTATTCTTAATTTAATTTATTTCTATCAAGATATATTTTTTGACTTTTTATTTTGAAATAATTATAGACCACAAAGCTATAAAAATAGTACAGGCAGTCCCATGTACTCTTCTCTCAGCTTCCTCTAATATTAATATCTTAGATAAAGTATAGTACAGTATCAAAACCAGGCACTCGACGTTGGTATAATACTGTTAACTGGACTACAAGCCTTACTCAAATTTCACTAGTTTTTATAAGCGTTTGTTTATATGTGTGTATGTGTATAGTTCTATGTAATTTTATCTCTAGATTGGTTCTTTCAGTTTAAGGCTCTTGTTTCTATTGCAATACAACCTCTACCATATTGGAGAGGTAATATGTTGTGACAGAGGAACATAGACTTTGGAAACTGGCAAGTTTGAGAATAAATCTTAACTCTGCTATTTTTTAGCTGTGCGAATGTGATTTTGGACAAATTATTCATCTCTCTGGGCCTCAGTTTTCCCCTCTGTGAAATGAGGAGAATAGTTCTTAATTCACATGGCTTTTGTGGAGATTAAATGGGATAATGTATGTTAAGTGCCTGGCCCAGCAAATGTTTCCCTTCCTCATATCTCCTTCCTTGAGTGAGATAGCATTTTAAGCTGTTCTCAGTTCTTTATACCTGTGATTCTTTCCTGATAAGAGCAGGTTTTAATGGGAGGAATTGAGAGATGCATAAAAGCATTGTGAGTAGTGGCACCAATGAAAGATTTCACCAATTTTACTGTTTTGCCTGGCACTAATCCTGTTCCAGGTGGCCTGTGGGTTGTTCCTACATAACATGAATGTCTATAATATTCCTACACCTATACTTTTGTTTCTGCCATAAATTAACAATCTAAAATATTTAATAAACATCACAGTCATCACTTCATTTCTGTCTTATCTAGAAATTCTACTCTTACCATTCTTACCACAAATTCAGAATCCCTGTGCTAAGGGAAAGTCAGAGGGATTGATACTGTAAAAGTCATACTTTTCTATAGATTTGACTATTAAACAAATAGGCACTAAAGGATGTGGAGGCTAGCCTGGGTATATGATAAGGATGTTCCTATTGCTTTTTTCTTGGGTGGAGAGGGTCACCACAAGGATGGAGACCCCTCTAAGACGAGCCTGATTTTTTTATATGAAAGGGGAGGAAGGATGCCACTGATTTTTTAAAACTTAAGGATTTGTTTCCTTTCATTTATATATTTTTTAAAGTTAGGTTTATTAACCTTTTCAAAGAACTGGCTTTTAGTTTTGTTGATTCTTTTCTACTGTCTTTCCATTTTCAATGACTTTTGTATTTTCTTTATTATTTTCTTCTTTCTGCTTGCACTGGATTTTATTTCCTTTTCTAGTCTTAAGATGAAGTTTACGTCATTGATTTAAGACTTTTCTAATTATAGTCATTCAATGCTATAAATTTCATTTTAAACACTGCTTTAGCTGCATCCCATAAATTTTGATATGCGTTTCTATTCTGCGTTAGAAGCTTGTTGTCTAATTTCCAAATCTTTGGGGATTTCCCTCATATTTTTGTGTGTGTTTTGGTTCTCCTTTAGTACTTTTTCAGCCAGAAAATATACTATGATTTCAAATTTTTTTAAAAAATTGAAAATTATTTTTTGATCCAGAATTTAAGCCTATCTTGATGAATGTTCCGTGTGCACTTTTGTGTTTGTTGAGTGGAGTGTTCTATACATTTCAATGAAATCAAGTTAGTTGATAGTGTTGTTCAGGTCTTCTATATCCTTACATATTTCCTATCTACTTATTTTATCAATTATTGAAAGAGGGATATTGAAATATCCAACTATGATTGTGGATCTCTCCCTTTCTCTTTTCAATTCTATCGGATAAGGGCTGGATTTTTTTCTTTTTTTAAATGTTGCTGCTTACCCTTGGCTTTCAGGCTTCTCTGTGCACTTGCACCTCAGAGGGTGTCTCTTCCCGTGTTCTTGCTTGCTACTCCAAGAGTAGACTGCTGTTGCTTGTTACTTAGAGCTTGGTAGTCTGGTGCTGGAGCCAGAGGAGGTTCTTTGTTGTCTTGTTTCATATTTAGGCCTGTGTGTCTGAGTCTCGTGGGCTAGTGCCTTTTCAGTTATCTTGCCCTTTCCAGCCAACTCAGCCTTGTATCTTTGGCAGATCTTGTGCAGGAGAATTTCCTGCTACTCTCCCAGTGGTAGGAACCACTAATGGTGTTATACAGGATCCAGAGCCCAGGACTGTTTCCTGCTTCTCTGCCAGTGGTAGAATTGTTTTCTTCTACACTTCCCTCTATCATAATGGGTCTTTACCAGTGCTGTGGAAGTAACAGGGTTGTTGCTCCTCCCTCAGTGGCTCAAGACTTTTCTTCTTTAGGGAATAAAGGGTTGGGAGCAGTTTGTGCCTTTCCTGTAGTGGCAGCCTCTCTGCTCCAGGGCTATACTACTGAGAGAGGCTCTTTGCATTCACCCACACATTCTTTCTAGAGAGCATCTAGTACAGTTCCCCTTGTATCCGAGGCTCTGGGACTTCTGTACTCTCATGCTAGCCAATTCTCGTTTTTTAACAATGCATTAAAATTGTAGTTAAATTCTTCTTACCCAGTCGTGTGGTGCTCAGTGTCTCTCCTTCCTGTGCTCTACCACATGTAAGTCAGTGTTTGTGACTGTCTCTGCCTTGGGAGGTGCCTGTCTTTCCTTGGGTTTCACATTATTTGTTTTCCCTGCCATGCCAGCTCTGATAGCAGCGAAAAAGTATGATTTTCTTGTTTATCTGGCTTTTTCTTGTTGAGGTGGTAATGATGCTCTTTCCAGGTTTCTACATTCAAGATGAAACACCTTTTATTTGTTTCAGCTATTTTTTTGTTTATGAAATTAATACATGAGCGGCATAAAAATTTAAATGGGTATAAAATGTGAGGTAAATTTTCCCACAAACCCCACTCCCTAGAGGCAACAACTATTCACAAGCTTTATGTTTTTAGTTCTGTTAATTTCCATTTCCAATGGTACCTAGAACAGGATCATTATGAGAAGCCATCACTAACTTTTCAGGAATTTTGCAAGCCCATTGGTGTCACACTGGTACCTGAAACTGGCTATGATGGGAATATTTATGCCACACAAATCGACAAATGCTACAAACCAGAGCTCCCCTCCTAGCAGCCATCTGGAAAGCATTTACCAACACACCACTGATTACCTAACAGTGAGTACCATACTTACACCCCTATTTCTTGATTCGTTTTCTTTAAATAATAACTATGGACTCTCCACAATATAATATAAAAAATTAGCACATCATCAAACACCCTTTCCTCCGCATTTTTTTTAGGTCTTCTATTCTATGCCTTTATGATATTAAATAAAAACCAAATGTTCTCCCATCTCCCATCTATTCATCACTCCTAGCCTTAGTCCCATGGTAGCTATTTCAAACCATGTCTTTTTTATGCCTTTTTGGTAATTATCGTAGTTCTAAAAATGTTTATCTCCATTTCTTGATTTAATCTTAACTAATATATTGACTCCTTAGCTATGATGCATGTCTACTTCTCTTAGCTCCTTCATTTCCAAAGTTTTAATACATTATTACTTTTACATTGTTCAGAATTTTTAAACTTGACAATCTGTTATGTATCTATAAATAATTTTTCTGTGCTTTATCTATAAATTAATTGTAAAACCATGTTGAACACCATAATGCCACATTTATAATTATAGAAATATGGAAATAGTCACCGTGGAATCATATACAGGGATTTTATCCAAAGAAAAGGAAATATAGGGGCTGGCCTGGTGGCGCAGTGGTTAAGTGTGCATGTCGTGCTTTGGCGGCCTGGGGTCTGCCAGTTCGGATCCCGGGTGAGCACATGGCACTGCTCATCAAGCCATGCTGTGGCAGGTGTCCCACATATAAACTAGAGAAAGATGGGCATGGATGTTAGCTTAGGGCTAGTCTTCCTCAGCAAAAAGAGGAGGATTGGCAGATGTTAGCTCAGGGCTGATCTTCCTCAAAAAAAAAAAATTAAATTAAAAGAAAAAAAGAAAAGGCAATATATTATTAATCCTTTGCCTCTGGTAAGAAAATCAGAAGTGTCAAGGTGTATTGTATATTCTTATTTCATTTCAGGTTTCTTTACTTCCTCTGGATTACACTCATCTGCCACTGTTCCTTGCATCCCATGCTTTCCTCGTTCTTGGATTAAATTATTATTTTATTGATAACATTCTCAATTAAATATTTTATTTTTTTCTCCTTTTTTTTTGAAGGTATGCTTTTTAGTGAGGAAGATTGGCCCTGAGCTAACATCTGTTGCCATTCTTCCACCCTTTTTCTTTTTCTCTTCTCAAAGCCCCAGTACATAGTTGTATATCCTAGTTGTAAGTTCTTCTAGTTCTTCTATGTAGGATGCGCCATAGCATGGCTTGATGAGTGGTGTGTAGGTACGCACCCAGGATCCAAACCAGCGAACCCTAGGCCACTGAAGAGGACCACCATGAACTTGACCACTATGCCACAGGGCCGGCCCCCAAATATTTTAATGTATTATGAGTGGATATTAAACTTTGAGTTCTTGGTGTCCAAGAATTTTTGTTTTGTCTCATCCTTGATCAATACTTGGTTAGTTTTACAGGGCTGGGCACAGAGGGATTTTCCCTTAAAACTTTGCAAATTTACTTCCATTGTCTTTTAGCATTATATGATGCTGATGAAAAGTCTTATGCTGGTCTGTTTAGTTTTTAGGGGAGGTTATTTTTAATTTTTTATTATATAATATTAGATACATTTTAAGAATAAATGTAACTCATGTAAGTGTTGAATTTTGATAAAATGAACACCTATAGTGCTACCACCCAACTAGAACACTATCATACTGCTACATCTGTCAGTGTGTTCCTCCATTTCCCACCCTTCTTCTCCCCCTTCAGGTATGATTATCTTGAACTTTGTCTTTACTGTTGTTGTTCTTGTTAGTTATGTCTATTGAATATGTGTGAATCCCTACACAATATATTATTTAATTTTTCCTCTCTTTCTTTGTTTTAGTTTTTTTGTGGTAAAATATACATAACATGAAATTTACTATTTTAACACTTTTCAAGTGTACAATTCAGTGGCATTAAGTACATTCACATCGTTGTGCAACCATCACCACTATCCACTTCCAAAGCTTTTTTTGTCATTCCAAAATACAAAGTCGCCAATCCCCTCTACACCCAGCCCCTGGTAACTTCTACTCTACTTCATGTCTCTATAAATTTGCCTATTCTAGCTACTTAATATAAATGGAATCATACAGTATTTGTCCTTTTGGATCTGGCTTTGATTTAACTTAACATAATGTTTTCAAGGTTCATCCATGTTGTAGTATGTATCAGAATTTCATTTCCTTTTTATGGCCGAATAGTATTTCATTGTATGTATATGCCACATTTTGTTTATCCATTCTTCTGTTGATGGGCACTCGGGTTGTTTTCACTTTTTGGATATTGTGAATACTGTTGTTGTAAACATTGGTGTACAAAGATTATCTGTTTGAGTTCTTGTTTTTAATTCTTTTGAGTATATACCTAAGAGCAGAATTGTTGGGTCATATGGTAATTCTTTGTTTAAACATTTAAGGAACTGCCAAACTTTTTTTCATAGTGCTACATTTTAAATTCCCACCAGCAGTGCACAGTGCTCAGTTTATCCATATCCTTGTCAACACTTGATATTTCCTTTTTTTTAATTAGAACTGTCCTAATGAGATGTGAAGTAGTATCTCATTGTGGTTTTGCTTTGCATTTCCCTAATGATTAGTGATGTTGAGTATCTTTTCTTGTGCTTATTATTGACCATTTGTATATCTTCTTTGAGTAATGTCTATTCAAGTCCTTTACCCGATTTTGGATTGTTATCTTGTTGTTGTTTTTAATGTTGAATTATAGGAATTCTTTATGTATTCTGGATATTAATCTCTTATCAGATATAAGATGTACAAATATTTTCTCCTGTGAGTTGTTTTACTCTCTACGTAGTGTTTTTTGATGGACAAAAAAGATTTTAATTTTGATGAAATTTATTTTATTTATTTTTTCTTTTGTTGCCTGTCATATCCTAGAAATTGATGCCAAATCCAATGCTGTGGGGATTTCCTCCTACATTTTCTTCATGGATTTTACTGTTTCAGCTATTAAGTTTAGGTCTTTGATCCATTTTGAGTTAATTTTTATATATGGTATAAGGTACAGGTCCAGTTTCATTCTTCTGCATGTGGATATCTAGTTTCCCCAGCCTCATTTGTAGAAAGACTCTCCTTTCTCCATCAAATGGTTTTGGCACCTTTGTAAAAAAAAAACCCAATTGATCATACATGTGAGGATTTCCTTCTCAGCTCTCTGTTCTAGTGCATTGGTTTATATGTCTGCTCTTATGCCAACACCACACTGTTTTGATTACTGTAGCTTTGTAGTAAATTTTGAAATCAGGAACTGTGAATCCTCCAATGTTGTTCTTAGTTTTCAAGATTGTTTTGGCTATTCTGGGTCCCTTGAAATTCCATATGAATTTTAGGATAGCCTTTTCTATTTCTACCCAAAATGTCATTAGGCTGTTGATAGAGATTGCATCGAATCTGTAGACCACTTTTGGGTAGAATTGTTGTTTTAACAATACTATGTCTTGCAATCCATGAACACCATATGTCTTTTTATTTATGTCTTCTTTAATTTCTTTCAGTGGTGTTTTGTAGTTTTTGGTGTATCAGTCTTTTGCTTCCTTGGTTAACTTATTCCTAAGTATTTTATTCTTTTTGATGCTATTGTAAGTGGAATTGTTTCCTTAATTTTCTTTTCGGATATTTCATTGGTAGTGTATAGAAATGGAACTGTTTTTGCATATTGATTTTGTATTCAGCAACTTTGGTGAATTTATTAGCTGTAACTTTTTTTGTGGAATATTTAGGGTTTTCTACACATGTAATCATGCTATCTGTGAACAGGGATAATTTGACTTCTTCCTCTCCGATTTGGATGCCTTCTATTTCTCCCTCTTGCCTAATTGCTCTGGCTAGAATTTCCAATACTATATTGAGTAGAATTAGCTAAACTGGGCATCCTTCTCTCATTTCTGGTCTTAGAAGAGCCTATCATTTTTCTAATGTGTCATGTTGTAGGTTGTTTTCTGCAAGTTCGTTGTTTTTCTTGCACATATTCTAACAGTTTCACTCAAAGCTTCTAAGATGTTTTCATGTTGTGGTGTTTGTATCTCTAGCACACTAATTTTTACTGATAACATTATTTACAATAGAATATTACATATCTATACTGTTACTAGGCATCATGGTTATTTCCATTTTTCTCCTATTGTAAACAGTGCTGCCATGAAGAATCTTGAACATGTCTCTGCAGAGTTTCTGTAGAGTATATGCATAAGAGTGAAATTGATAGCTCAAGGGTAAGCAAATTTTAAATTTTAAAAGATAATACCAAATTGTTTTCTAAAGTGGTTCTTCAAGTTTACATTTCCAATGCAGTAGATGAAAGTTCCTATTCATCTACATCTTTGCCAACATGTGAAGCTGTCAGACTTCTAAATTTTTGCTTATTTCAAGGATTAAAAATAGTATCTCATTGTGGTTTTAGTTACATTTCCCTGGTTCCTAATAGAGTTAAGAATCTTCTCCTCTGTTTATCCAAAACTTATGTTTCCTCTTCTGTGAAATGCCTATTCATGAGCTATTATATTGATTTATAGGAGTTCTGTGCATTTTCTAGATACTATTTCTTGATGTAATTTATATAAGATGCACATATATTTTTCCATTGTCCCACTTTCTTTATGGTATATATATTTTTTATTTTATTGAGGTCACATTGGTTTATAACATTATATAAATTTCAGGTGTACATCATTACATTTCGACTTCTACGTGGACTGCATTGTGTTCACCACCAAAAGTCTAGTTTCCATCCATCACCATACTCCTTTTGCCTTCCCCTGACCCCTGTCTCCTCTGGTAATTACCAATCTGTTCAACTTATCTATGTGTTTGTTTCTTTGTTTATCTTTCACATGTGACTGAAGTCAAACAGTAATTGTCTTTTTCCTTCCGACTTATTTTGCTTAGAATACTACTCTCAAGGTCCATCTATGTTGTCGCAAATGGCACAATTTCATCTTTTTTATGGCTGAGTAGTATTCCATTGTATATGTATATACCA